TAAGTACCATTATACAGAAAAATTCCTCCAAACATTTTTTTTGTATTTTTTGACGTTTTAATTAAGGTCTCGACTTCAAAAAACTAAAAATCTTGAATGGTCATTTTTTTCACCGATGGACATAGTTTCCCTCGGTTATGTACGACAACCAGGAAAGTAATTACTGAAGTAAAATAAATTTTCTAAATAAGAGAAAGGTATCAATGATTATCACAAAAAAGAACCCTATCCGAATATTCTCACGTACTCCTTCTATGACGTCATGAAGTCTAGATTTAGGTCCGTACGTAACGATAACCCCGAACTGTTTCCAAGGTTGAAAATGAAGAGGTGGGCGTCAATAATAACAGAGAAACCTTTTTGACGTCCCGGTATTTTACGTGTATAATGTAAACAAAACCTTCCCAAAAATATTGATATATTAAAATAACGTATGTAAAATATAAATCTAAATTAGAATAAATATGTTTCGTATACTGAGGAAAAGGTAACTTAGATAACGCTTATATATTGTATATAAAGCTATACACCTAAATAATCTAAGCTAATCGTAATACCAGAAAAAATAACTTATAAAATCAATAAATAAATTATTTTCTAAACTAATTTATTATCTATTATATTCATAAACACAGGTTGATTATAGGCTAATTATTACTAATTAAAAGTAATTCAATGGGAAATAATAATCAAACGAACCCGTTAGATTCAATCCCTACTTTCTCATAAAAAGCATTCAGTCAAGCTTGATGTGGGAATTTCTAATATTTATATAATTTAAGTTCGTTTTTATGTGCTAAATTTATTTAATTTCAACGTTGTCGGCAATTTTAAATGAACAATATGACACTTAATATTGATAACTCTGCTGCTTGCCCTTACATTATTATTATTCAACGTATTTTCGATTTCTATTTTAAAGCTTACCAAATAGCAATCAAGTATTTCAAAGCAATTTATTACAGTTGTAAATAATTGTATACTCGATTGCTGTGTGATTAGCCAATAAATATAAATTACAACGGTCTTCGTTTATGCAAGAATTACGTTAAATAATATGACATTTAATTGTTCTCTTAGGGTGCGACAATGTAGACGCGAATTTAGAGCGAGCGACAGGTTGCGAGCGATTTAGTTTCGCAAAGGAAAACCATGCACAAACGAGAAGCGAGAAATAACGCTGGCTAGAGCGAATTCCTGATTCTCGCATATATCTGACAGGTTTTGATATTTATCGCGTCTCGTTTCTTCTCGCCACATATTCTCGCTTGCTCGCGTCTGCATAGTCGCACCCTTATTGTCAAAGCTCTTAGAAAATTCAATATAAATTGATTAATCACACTATAAAAAAGTAAATAAATTCGATTAAGTCTGAATGAAATATAAATATCTAACAAGATTATAAGCGTGCAGTTCAGTTTTTATTTTTGATTAAGCAAATATTAAATCTATATAATATCAATTATTTAATGAAAAGTTGAACTCTAGACTTACAGGTTAAGAGGTCGTCGGTCGGAAATAAGCTTTTTACCGAATAATGAAATTTTTTACTTGTCAAATTTAATATAATTGTTAAATCAAACAATAAATTAATATTATACAAAAGGCATACTTTAAATAATTATCAAATTTTCAAAAATGCTTACTTTTTACATTAGCATATTATTTGTTGCATGAATTTCGCAATGTCATGTAAGATTGCTGAAAATGCTTCGTTTTGACGGGTTTTCTCTTTTCCACATAAACTCGATACGAGTTGAGATGATGACGAGAAGTACTTCTCTGTACCTTGTTTCTCCATTTACAATATCCCCGTAACCTCTCTATATTCTGAGTGTGACATCCGGTATACTCATCGGCAAAGTTTAATTTGTGATTCACTTGATAATGAAGATAGCCTTCTTGTAATTCTTTGGTACTATAGCCTTTCCAACAATCCGAAAATATCGTTGCTCCTTCATGAACACGATTTTCCACTTACTTCAATAACGTTTCTGCCGAACGATCTGGCACTGGAACGAGGAAACATTCCTTTGTCTCTCAATATAGTCCACCAAACACTCATTGTTGATGTCAGACACGATCAACATTGTACTTCCGTCTTGTATACATCGTTTCTTCTATTTCAACTATCTTGTCAACACCGTCTACCTTTCCGTCACAACGAGTCATTAAAGAATGGACGCACACCTCCCTCGTGTAACTGTTCCAATTGATGGTTGTAGAGAAGTCAAGTCCTACTTGCATTTTACAACATTCCAACGAAAACAGTTGCAGCTACCAAATGTATGTAAAACGCAAAGCATCAAGGAAGGATATACGTGACCCGAAAATCCAGTTATCTCTCCTAATGCCCCTTTTCTGTCGACACGTCCTGACATGGCATCTCCATTTCGGAGCTTCTGTTTCACAAAAATACAAACTCATTGGATGGTTATTCTTGCAAATACGTTCAGAATGTAAAATTTTTTTTTTGAAACAAACTAATAGCTCCACGTTCGTCGTTCGGTAAGTCCTAAAAGATATATTCCATTTTCAGATCTTGGTAATGAACGCGATAATGAATCTCACAATGTAAAACAACGAGCAACTTGCACATCTACTTTGCATAATCGTACGAGCGAGTCATGACGTCACATCTACTTATTTGAATCAACGATTACAGAAAAAGCCTAAATCAACGACTAATAACGTAGAAAAAATAATGATTACATGCAATAAAATAATAAAAATAGCCACACTCCACGATTTATAAAGATTTAACAAAATTTCTCAAATTGTAATAATAAACCACTTGAATATGCTAATTATTTTGTAGAGTATACGGCAAATATGGCAAACAGGTGATATCTATAATCATCCTAATTATTTTTTTTTTTCATTTTTACAACCTTAACAGTAATTTTTTTTTTAATTTAAATTTACTAATCTATTTTTATTTTGATATTTTCAGTAAAAATCGCGACTTTATTCGCAATTTCCGACTGGCGTCCTTTTAACCCATAAGTACCATTTTACATTACAAATGTTTAAGTACAATATCCTTTTATCATTTTGTCCAGGGCTGTGGAGTCGGAGTCGGAGTCGTGGAGTTTTGATATTTTAGCCGGAGTCGGAGTCGTCAAAAAATCCGCCGACTTCGACTCTGTTTTACTTACCAACTTGTTATGTATATAAAATGGAAAAGTATTGGAATCGTGTCAAGTTTGTCCCTCCAAGTTTTTTTTGCAAAACTACACGTTTGGAGACCTCCCGAACCCCTAAAAAAGTCAATAAAGGGGAAAAATTCGCGCGCGCGTGTGAGTTGGCGTCTAATTTGTTTTAATTTCTTTATTTTCTGTTCTCAGATATTGTTCAACGGGTAAAGTTTAAGAAACGAAATGTGGCACTGTAGTTTGCGTATAAAGGGACATTAATACTATTAAATTTTGGTTCTTAATTAAAGGTCGACAGGGTGAAGACATAAAAGTGGTCATGTGTCATATCTCTTAATTAATGAATATTTTACTCGTTATTAGCATTCAAAATTTTAAAAAATAAAATAAAACTCGTCTTTACCCGCAAAGTAAGTTTTTTTGCCATTTTATATTAGTACAGTAAAACACGTTAAGATGTTCTCCCTTAAGATGTTAGAATGTATATGGAAACATGATTTAGTTCAAACACTTTGACATAAATAACTAACTCCTGTGTTAAACTATCCGACTCTGATTCTGACCACTCTGACCACAGAAATTTTTAGGCTTCAAACAGGGTNGATTTAGTTCAAACACTTTGACATAAATAACTAACTCCTGTGTGAAACTATCTGACTGCGATTCTGACCACTCTGACCACAGAAATTATTAGGCTTCAAATGTGAGAACCCAAACTGGGGTCGACTGAGAGGTCCGAATTATGGGTTCGATCGAAAATAAAGAGCTCCTTTTCAGACGATAAGGAAACGGATTAGGTGTCCCGATTTAACAATGCAATTGGTTTTTTTCGGAAAATTAGTTAAACAATGGAAACGGGGAAATTCGAGGAAAACGCGACGAGAGAGAGGATCATATTCAGTCGCTATGTTAACCTCTCCCGCGCCCTCCATTAGGTTTCGAATTGTCACCAGGNGAACCCTACTTTAAAAAATTCCCTAAACATAGGAAATAGTGTGTGATATTAGAAGATAGGGGAAGATTTATTAAAATTAAAAAATTAAAATTAACAAAAAAAGGTTCAGTTTTTCGAACGTCCGATTCGTTCGAATCGGAACGCCCTTAAAACTGACTCTTTTGTTGAACACAGATATTTCCTTGTCCAAATAATATGACTCACTTCTGAATAATGGTCTTTGAAATTTACCTGTTTAGCTTTTAAGACTGGAAGTTTTGAATGGACGTAAAATTTCCATAGCTGAGAGAATAAGATGTTCAACATCGGAATTAAAGTTATGAAGTTCTATTCCCTGCAATTTACGATTATTTTAGTGTAACATAAATATTTAATTATCTTAACGTATTATTAAAATTATTGTAACTTAGGTATAAGGGTTATAGAAAAAATGTCTATAAACTCGTTACGTCATTTCCTGCTTAGCAAAGAGAAGTCTGTAGATGTAACTCTTTTATGTTCTTAAATCATATTTTTTCTTTATATTTATTTTCAGATCTGCTGTATAGTTATAATGCTAAAAATATGTTAAAATAGCTAAATAACTATGTTNATCTTTTGCATATCTCGAAATTTCAAGGTGTCCCGAGTCCAAAAATGTAAAAATTTGGGAGGGGTCATTTTTGACCGAGCGCTACACTTTTCGTTTGTTATATATAACAGCCGGAAAAGTAAAAATTATCGAATACATATTTATATATTACTTAGAGAAGTCTTTTAGCTTTGGAATAAAAAGTTTCTACGCTCTATCTTTATTACAACTGTATTTATTGAATATTTTATTCTGAGGTCACGTGATGACATCAGAATTTCTGGGTCTCTTTCGGTAACAAGTCTGTCCCTAGTCGGAGTCGGAGTCGGAATCGGAGTCGGATGGTAAGGAAAAGTCGGAGTCGGAGTCGTAGTTGCAGTCGGTAGATTTTTACGCGACTCCACAGCCCTGATTTTGTCTAACCGTTAGAGCTAAGGACTACAATTATCAACATGAGCCTGAAAAATATAAGAAAATCGCTGTTACTTAGAAAACGAGTTTCTCGTTCGTTCCTATTTACCTTGTGTTTGGACATTCTTTCAGTATAATTTCAGCTCATTTCATTTCAGAATTTTTTCTTCTTTTTTCACTTTTGCTTCATAGAAAAGTTAAATTGCGTGTCTTTATTTCTCAGTTTTCTTCAATCTAAAAGAAAAGTAAAATAGTATTCGTCAACGCAAGTTCACTGCATTGACCACTAACTACACTATTGTCTTGTCTAATTCCTCTTTCGTTTGTTTTCTTTCTTCACGTGGTCTAAATCTTTTCCAGGAATAAATTCCTGAACAAAAAGGGAATCCCTCTGCGATGGGTACCCTAATTTAAAACATTTTCTAAACATAGGGAATAGAGTGTGATTTTAGAAGATAGGGGAAGATTTGTTAAAATTTAAAATTAACAAAAAAGGGTCAGTTTTTCGGGTCTCCGATTCGAACGAATTCGAGGCCCTTAAAACTGACCCTTTTGTTAAACACAGATATTTCCTTGTGCAAATAATATGACTCTCTTCTGAAGCGTTTCTGAATATACGTGTTTAGTTTATAAGACTGAAAGTTCTGAACAGACGTAAAATTTCCATAGCTGAGCGAATAAGATGTTAAACATCGGAGTTAAAGGTTATGTAGTTCTATTCTCTGTAATTTATGAATATTTTAGTGTAACATAAATATTTTATTACCCTAACCAGTGGCGTGCCGTGACATTTGATGATAGCGAAGCTGTGTTTCTGTAAGAAGTCGACTTCCAGGAACAATTATTTAATTGCGCATCGGGGTTCATTCGTATTCGTTTGTTCGATAAGCAGTAAAAACCGTTCACTTCTTTAAATGTATTTTTTATATATTATCTGACGTACTTAATAAATAACCATGTTCAATATAATTATTTCTATTATTAGATTCAATAGATTCCCTATGCCCTCTAAATGACAATTCTCGCTTTAGAAAAAAACATATAACATCTATTAATTTAGATTATCCTTTTTCAAAGTGGGCGATAACGCTTCCTTGTTGGCGCTGGAGGCTTTCAGGGAGGCAGTAAAAGGCTCAGTGATTAAATATGAGTTTTATTTCTTCTTATTGAAACATTTTTTGATCTCAGAAATAGGATATGAATCACACCCTATCTATCCTATCCATATAAATATAATGTTTGAACATGCATTAGCATGTTTAAACATTATATTTGCAATAACTGTTTTTAAGATATGAAACAGATGATAATAAAAAAAATATACTAAAAAATTACTTTAACGGCCATAGGCGTCACTTTCGTCACTTTTGCAGCGATAAGCATAACTTACGTCATTCTGGCGGTTATAGGCGTCACTTACGTCACTTTGGCGACCATAAACGTCAATTACGTAACTTTGGCGACCATATTCGTCATATACGTCACTTTGCAACCATAAACGTCAATTATGTTACTTTGGTGGACATAGGTGTCACTTACGTCAGTTTGGCAGCAATGCGCGTCAATTACGTCAGTTTGGCAGCCAAACGCGTCAATTACGTTACTTTGGCGGCCATAGGCGTGAATTACGTCACTATAGCAGCCATACTCGTCATATACATCACTTTTGCAACCATAGGCGTCAATTACGTCACTTTGGCGGCTATAAGCGTTAATTACGTCACTTTGGCGCCTATAAGCGTTAATTACGTCACTTTGCTAACAATACGCGTAAATTACGTTATTTTGGCGACCATAGGCGTCACTTACGTAAGTTTTTTCAACCGTAGGCGTCACTTACGTCACTTTCGCAATAATAGGCGTTAATTACGTAACTTTAGCGACTACAAGCGTCAATTACGTCACTTTGGCAACCATAGGATTCACTTATGTCACTTTGGCGGCCATAAGCATAACTTTTGTCATTTTAGCGGCTATAACTGTCATTTACATCACTATGGCGGTTATAAACGTAACTTACGTCACTTTAACAATTATAAACGTCACTTACGTCATTTTGGCGGTTATAGGCATCAACTACGTCATTTTGACAACAATAGGCATAAATTACGTATTTTTGGCGCCTATAGGCGTCAAATACGTCACTTTGGCGGTTATAAGCGTCAATTACGTTATTTCGGTAACCATATTCGTGAATTACGTTACTTTGGCGGCCATAGCCGTCAATTACGTCATTTTGGCTGCCATAAGCGTCAATTACGTCACTTTGGCGAGCTAAGCGTCAATTACGTCACTTTAACAACCATAGGCATAACATACGTCAGTTTGGCAGCCATAGGCGTCACTTACGTCACTTTGGCAGTAATGGGCGTCTCTTACGTCACTTTGGCTACCATAGTCGTTACTTACGTTAGTTTGGCAGCAATAAGCGTCAATTACGTTACTCAAACGATCATGGGCGTCGTTTATGTGACTTTAATTTTAATAAGCGTCGTTTATCTGACTTTAATTTTAATAAGCGTCGTTTATGTGACTTTAATTTTAATAAGCGTCGTTTATCTGACTTTAATTTTAATAAGCGTCGTTTATGTGACTTTAATTTTAATAAGCGTCGTTTATCTGACTTTAATTTTAATAAGCGTCGTTTATGTGACTTTAATTTTAATAAGCGTCGTTTATCTGACTTTAATTTTAATAAGCGTCGTTTATGTGACTTTAATTTTAACAAGCGTCGTTTTCGTCACTTAAATGGGCATAAACGTTGTTTACGTTATTTTGGTTGCCATAGGCATTCTTTACGGCACTTCAGTTGCAATAGGCGTCGTTTATGTAACTTTGGTAGTAATAGGCCTCGTTTACGTCACTTTAATGGGCATAAGCGTCGTTTACCTTACTTTGGTTGCAATAGACGTCGTTTATGTTACTTTAAATTTAATAGGCGTCGTTTACGTCACTTTAATTGAAATAAGCGTTGTTTACGTCACTCTTGTGGCCATACGCGTCACTTACATCATTTTGGTAGCCAAAGGCGTCAATTACTTTACTTTGGCGTTTATAAGCGTCTATTACGTCATTTTCGGTAACCATATACGTGAGTTATGTTACTTTGGCGGTTATAGGCGTCAATTACGTCACTTTGGCTGCCATAAACGTCAATTACGTCACTTTGGCTGGCATAGGCGTCAATTACGTCACTTTAACAACTATAGGCGTCAAATACGTAACTTTGAGCGCCATATTATCACTTACGTCACTTCAGAAATAACAAGCATCAATTACGTCACATTGGCGACCATAATCGTCACTTACGTAACTTTGACGACTACAAGCGTCTGTTACGTCACTTTGTTGACAATAAATGTCACTAAGGTTAGTTTAATGGCAACAGGCGTTAATTACGTCACTTTGGCAATCATGAGCGTCACTTACATTACTTTTGCAGTTATAAACGTCAATTACGTCACTTAAACGGCGATAGGCGTGAATTACGTTACTTTAATGGCTATATTCGTCATATACGTCACTTTGAAAAAAATTAATGTTAATTACGTCACTTTGGCAGCTATAAGCGTTAATTACGTCACTTTGGTAACAATACGCGTAAATTACGTCACTTTGGCAATCATATACGTTAATTACGTAACTTTGGTGGCCATAGTCGTAACTTATGTTACTTTGGCGACTAGAAGCGTCTGTTACGTCACTTTGGCGGCAATAAGTGTCACTTACGTCAGTTTGGCAGCAATACGCGTCAATTACGTCACTTTGGTAACAATACGCGTCAATTACGTCACTTTGCCAGCCAAATGCGTCAATTACGTTACTTTCGCGGTCATAGGCGTGAATTACGTCACTATAGCAGCCATACTCGTCATATACGTCACTTTTGCAACCATAGGCGTCAATTACGTCACTTTGGCAGCTATAAGCGTTAATTACGTCACTTTGGCGGCTATAAGCGTTAATTACGTCACTTTGCTAACAATACGCGTAAATTACGTTATTTTGACCGCCGTAGGCGTCATTTACGTAAGTTTTTTTAACCGTAGGCGTCACTTACGTCACTTTCGCAATAATAGGCGTTAATTACGTAACTTTAGCGACTACAAGCGTCAATTACGTCACTTTGGCAACCATAGGATTCACTTATGTCACTTTGGCGGCCATAAGCATAACTTTTGTCATTTTAGCGACTATAACTGTCATTTACAACACTATGGCGGTTATAAACGTAACTTACGTCACTTTAACAATTATAAACGTCACTTACGTCATTTTGGCGGTTATAGGCATCAATTACGTCATTTTGACAACAATAGGCATAAATTACGTATTTTTGGCGCTCATAGGCGTCAAATACGTCACTTTGGCAATCATAGGCGTGAATTATACGTTATTTCGGTAATTATATACGTAAATTACGTTACTTTGGCGGCCATAGGCGTGAATTACGTCACTTTGGCTGCCATAGGCGTCAATTACGTCAATTTGGCGGTCATAACCATTACTTTTGTCATTTTAGCAGCTATAAGTGTCATTTACATCACTATGGCGGCTATAAACGTAACTTACGTCACTTCAACAATTATAAACGTCACTTACGTCATTTTGGCGGTTATAGGCGTTAATTACGTCATTTTGGCAACAATAGGCATAAATTACGTATTTTTAGCGCCCATAGGCGTCAAATACGTGACTTTGGCGGTTATAAGCGTCAATTACGTTATTTCGGTAACCATATACGTGAATTACGTTACTTTGGCGGCCATAGGCGTCAATCACGTCATTTTGGCTGCCATAAGCGTCAAATACGTCACTTTGGCGGCCATAGGCGTAACATTCGTCACTTTTGCAGCCATAAGCATAACTTATGTCATTATGGCGGTTATAGGCGTCATTTATGGCAGCCAAAGTGACGTAATTCACGTATATGGTTACTGAAATAACGTAATTGACGCTTATAACCGCCAAAGTGACGTATTTGACGCCTATAGGCGTTAAAAATACGTAATTTATGCCTATTGTTGTCAAAATGACGTAATTAACGCCTATCACCGCCAAAATGACGTAAGTGACGTTTATAATTGTTAAAGTGACGTAAGTTACGTTTATAGCCGCCATATTGATGTAAATGACACTTATCTTCTTCGTGCCATATCAGATTTCTGACGTCGGCGACACCCGGCGCAGATTAGTAAGTAGTTAATAATACGCCAAGGTGTTACTAGGGAAGGTTAGTACCCAGAGTGGTTTCCCGTTGCCTTCTCTGGGGCGCGATGTTACGTGAGGGAAAGAATGCCTTCCGGGAGGACTTTTATAAGGAACTGGCCTCCTATTTAGTTGTTATAGGCAAGGAGAAAACCCGGAAAACTTCAAGCAGCCAGCCTGTCCGATCGCGGCGCAAACCCACGACCGAACTCCCAGTGTTTAGGGTACGAAGACCACTCGGCCACTGGTAAATGACACTTATAGCCGCTAAAATGACAAAAGTTATGGTTATTGCCGCCAAAGTGACGTAATTAACGCCTATTTTTTCCAAAGTGACGTATATGACGAATATAGCCATTAAAGTGACGTAATTCACGCCTACGGCCGCCTAAGTGACGTAATTAACGTTTATAACTGCAAAAGTGACGCAATTGACGCTTATAAACGCCAAAGTAACGTAATTGACGCCTGTGGCTACCAAAATGATGTAAGTGACGCTTATGGCCACAAGAGTCACGTAAATGACGCTTATTTCAACCGAAGTGACGTAAACGACGCCTATTGTATTTTAAGTAACATAAACGACGTCTATTGCTACCAAAGTAACGTAAACGACGCTTATTTCCACCAAAGTGAAGTAAACGAGGCCTATTACTACCAAAGTTACATAAACGATGCCTATTGCTACCGGTGCCGTAAAGAATGCATATAGCAACCAAAATAACGTAAACAACGTTTATGCTAATTTAAGTGACGTAAACGACGCCTCTTAAAACTAAAGTCACATAAGCGACACCCATGAACGTTTGAGTAACGTTATTGACGCTTATTGCTGCCAAACTAACGTAAGTAACGCCTATGGTAGCCAAAGTGACGTAAGAGACGCCCATTACTGCCAAAGTGACGTGATTTATGGTTACCGAAATAACGTAATTGACACTTATAACCGCCAAAGTCACGTATTTGACTCCTATAGGCGCCAAAAATACGTAATTTATGCCTATTTGTGTTAAAATGACGTAATTGACGCCTATAATTGCCAAAATGACGTAAGTGACGTTTATAATTGTTAAAGTGACGTAAGTTACGTTTATAGATGCCATAGCGATGTAAATGACACTTATAGCTGCTAAAATGACAAAAGTAATGGTTATGGCCGCCAAAGTGACGTAATTGACGCCTATGGCAGCCAAAGTGACGTAATTCACGTATATGGTTACCGAAATAACGTAATTTACGCCTATGATTGCCAAAGTGACGTATTTGACGCCTATGAGCGCCAAAAATACGTAATTTGTGCCTATTGTTGCCAAAATGACGTAATTAACGCCTATAACCGCCAAAATAACGTAAGTGACGTTTATAATTATTAAAGTGACGTAAGTTACGTTTATTACCGCCATAGTGATGTAAATGACACTTATAGCCGCTAAAATTACAAAAGTTACGCTTATGGCCGCCAAAGTGACATAAGTGAATTCTATGGTTGCCAAAGTGACGTGATTTACGTTTTTAATTGTAAAAGTCACGTAAGTTACGCCTATAACCGTGAAAGTAATGGAAGTAACGCTGATAGCAGCTAAAATGACGTAAGTTACGCTTATAAACGCCAAAAATACGTAATTTATGTTTATTGTTGCCAAAATGACGTAATTGACGTTCATAACCGCCAAATTGACGTAATTTACGCCATTGGTAGAAAAAGTGACGCGAGTGACGCCGATAAACGAAAAAACTTACGTAAGTGACGTTCATAACTGCAAATAACACTTCTCCTTTATTCACAAAATCCACAGAACGTTTGAATAAAGTCGTCTAGAGTATTTCTCCCACAAACGGAAAATCTGACATTATTAAGTTGTCCGGGTTAATATTATCAAGATTATAACCAAATTATTCTATAGAACATGACTACGATAATGAAACAGAGGCGAAGAAGAAAATCAAGCCACAGCTTTAACAAATGCTTTGAAAAAATTGATACATAAATATCTTCAAGAGCCTGAGGAAGTGACCTCGTCCAGCCCTAAAACACTTGAAAAGGACTTTTTAGTAGTAAAGAGTACAAACAGAAGAACGAAAAATTTAGATTTATTATTTTTTAAATTAGTAATAGTCATCGACACAAATTTGAAAAATATTAATTGAAAGAGTTATTTCCTCCTAAAATTGGGCCTATTTACGAATCAATAAATTATTTTAGCTTTCTTCCTATATACTATTCTAGTCTCTTTTATTTATACCTAGGTATGATCGTATTTAATTGCCTTATCGAATCTAGTTTATTCGGAACGTTCTACAATTCATAAAGTGGTTCACATTAGCTACTATGAATGGTTAGTGTAGCAGACTCTGCAATAGTCATGATACTATTACTTGATATCATCCAAACAAACCGCATTTTCTCACTTCGGAATGTAGACAATATCCGATTGAGACGCTTTTACAGAAAACAATATTATTTAATGTTAACTTTGAAAGAAATTATTCTTTGTAAAATATTCTCAAATTTTATAGCTGCAAATTATAATTTGTATGCAAAATGCAATGGAAGAAGGATGAAATTATAACCATAATTTTCCATATTTGTCTAGAAGAATGAACTCCTTTTGTTGCTTTTTCCAAAGTCTTTGTACCAATACTTCTCTTCTGCTTTCGCGTTACGCAAGTTTGGCTTAGAGTAAAATTTACCATACAGAATCGCTCCTTCTTTTTGTTTTTCACGGTTTCTCTGGGAGAAGCCATGCCTTTCCTTTCCGCCAACTTGCACTAAGGGGTGCACAATAAAGTAAAAGTTTATACACGAAAACTGTAGTGTCGGAGATTGCCGACGTTTCGTGTAGTAAATAATGGCCGACTATGGAAACGACATTAAACTAGAAAAGAAAATTCGCGCGATTCAGACTGAGAAGGGAATGGAAAGTGCAAAGTCTCAAAGTCGTTAAGCGAGGAATGGCCGAACACGATTGTATTAATCTGGCACTTCAAGGGTGAATTGTCCTACCGAAACTTTTTACATTCGGTGTAAATATAAACTGATTCGCATTCACTCGTAAATATTCAATTCTAAACCTTTCGATCTTAAACAATAAAAACAAAATTGTCGTTTCTAAACGCAGTGTTACATCACAGCTACCGAACGAACCGATTGTTTGTGATTTTCCTTCCGCTTTCTGAATGACGTGTCGTATCGTACGGCGATCGACGTAAATCGATTCGTAGTGTTTCCGATGATGACGTAATTTCTGTTACCGATTCAAATTTTTTCTTTATTAGTTTATTAGAAGTTTTATTAACTTGATGAAATGTTTTAAATATTACAAATAGTCGGAGTTGAATTGAAACAGGAAATCATTTCTGTTCGTTTTAATTACTTTTTTGCTGTCTTCTTTACCTGTCAAAAGAGGACATTTTTATTATAATAATGTAAATGGAGTCAGACAAAAACATTCTTTTGTGTCACAAAACACGTCTTAGAAAAAGAAACAAAATAAAATTTTATTTACAATATCAATTTGTTTAAACGAAAAACTCACTTGTAATAAATATGCAAAACAAATTTTCTTTTCGTAAAATATTCATTTAACGTTAAACCGATATTGTTTCTTCCAATGTAACCGGAATAAACGAGGAAATAAAAACTATATACGTCATATTTCTGTTCGAAATGACGAATCTATGTCACTGACATCATAATTTATCGTGTTGTCGACATAGCAACAGTAGAGATATCGAATATTAGAAGCTCAAAATTGTGTTTTATTGTTAATCGATTTCTCAGTATCGTGCTTCTGATCGATCTGACATTCGTCTGTCGATGCAATTGACTCATTGGACGAGATGAGGTGGGTTATCTTTTTCCAATTCCTATTTCTAGTAGTAAATTCTTGTCAAGAGTTTTGGCAACATTGGGAACATTTCTTGCTCGTCATCGGCGAACAGCTGCCATAAATCAAAGAACTTTTCCTCAATTGAAATATTTAATCAATTCTCAATCCTTTTCCATCGAGTGCGGCCAGGAAACGATTGACTCTCGTTCGATTCGATGTTTGGACGTTAGAAATGTAAAAGAGATAAAATTTACTAATTGTTTTCTGACCGGGATTGACTTTGGAATATTCACTTTCGGATATGAAATCGAACACGTCCATATTTTGTACGAAACATACCAAAATTACAGAAACTTCGAGAGCGCCTCTTTTAATAACCTGTTTTTCTGCGATCTGTCGTAATAGAAGGCGTGAAGACGTCGAAACTTTTAAACTTAACATTTCACAATGTTTCGTCTCTGACTTCATTGAAAATTCAACGCTACAACTTCTCTTTATTTCCGAACAAACCTTTCCGAGATTTAATTAATCTTTCCGAATTAGCCTATATATTAGGAATGGAAAGTTGAGAGTTTTACCAGAAGATCTATTTTATAATCTTCAAAATTTAACAAAACTTGATTTAAATGACAATAAAATTTAATCGATTCATCCACTTGTCTTTCGAAATCTCACCCGTATGGAATATTTGGATTTAGGATTGAATCAAATAAAGAATTTACCACGTGACATGTTGGAAGGTCTTTCTAACTTAAAAACATTTTATATTTATAGAAAATATCAACTGTCAGAAATTCCGTCCAAATCTTTTAATAAACTTCACAACTTGGCTACACTTTCTGCATGGAGTTCTTCTATTCCTTCACTCGAAGAAGATGTATTTTTTGACTTAATTAATTTGAAAGACGTCGACTTAGATATCAACGACATTGAATATCTCCCGCCGAATCTTCTTAGAAATAACAAACTCCTGACAAGATTTTCCTGCTCATATAATTGAATATCGACTCTTTCAACAGGAATTTTTCATGGACTTTCTGAACTGAGATGGTTGAACTTGGGGGAAATCGGTTAGAAAATCCTCCCGAAGATATTTTTCAGAATTTGTCGACGTTGCAGACTTTAAAGTTATCAGAAAATCGTTTCACATTTTTACACGAAAATATCTTCCTTCCATTGACTAATTTAACGCATCTCGATCTATCTTACAACAATTTAACTGAAATTATTGGTGAGCATCCTTTTGGCATAAGCAAGCATTTAATTTATCTGGATTTAAATGACGCATGTTTGACACAATGGCCGGTAATCAATTGGACAGAATACAACTTGACTGAAGTCGATTTTTCAAATAATCGTTTTGAAACGGTCAAATTGCCATTGTCCACACCAAATCGCATAAATGGATTTCTCTAACTGTAAAATCAGAACAATTTACGTGGATGACACGCAATACGGATTTGAAATGCCGACTTATTATTTAAAGTATAATGACATTAATTGTGACTACGAACTTCAGCAATTTTTTTTGCCCTTAAGTCAAATATAGAAGTGGCAAATGTTTCCAAATATAGAGAAGACGAAATGTTACGGACAAGAGAGAAATTTGCTTGAAAATACATCCTTCCCAGTCATAGGACATTATTGTCCGATGAATTGTAAATGTTTCGCTGAATGTACTCACGTGATGGTGAATTGTTCCGGAAAGGAAATTAACAGAATTCCCGAAGTTCTCCGTCCCAATGCGACAATTGTCGATTTGAGTAATAATTACATAAACGACTTATCAAATGTCGATTGTGTGACGTGGAAAAACGTCACCCATCTACATCTGAGCAATAATTCAATAAGTAATATTTCGGTTTATGTTCTTTTGCCAATCCTCAAATCCTTGTAGTTGGACGGAAACCGGCTAACTCAATTACCTTCCGGTTTCATGAACCTAATCGACGTTTCTACGGAATTTAAGATTTACTTGTCCAGAAACAATTGGAATTGTCATTGCTATTCGGAATTTACTAAGGACTGGTTGCTTAGAAACAGGCAGAAGATTGCGGATTTCTTCGGTTTTTCTCTGCACGAAAAATTCGTCTTTTGTGTCTTTCATCGAAATCGTTTCTAATGATCGCTGTGAACAAATTCCAGAAGATAACTTCTCATCGTCGGTAAATGTTTCGTGTACAAAATGCGTGTCTTTCGACGAAGTTAGTTCTGTTTCTGGATGGAAAATCGCCGTGGCTCTTCTTACTTCGCTAATGTTATTAGGTGTGATTATTGTTGTTTCGTTTGTTTATTGTTACAGAAAAGGAAATGTCGAGAAAGTGTCAAAGCCTAATGAAGAAGTGATTTATTACAATGTTTACAATTGAATTCTGTGATTACGACAATTCAAGTATATCTACTTTCATCAATTTAATCAAGACTTACGAATAAATTGTTATTATTTTGCATTTGTTTCTATAGAAATAAATTTTATTTATATCAAATATGCTGTAATAAGTGTTACTTTTATATGCTTTTGTTGTGAATTCTGATTAAGTATTATATTATAAAATGTGTAATAATTAGATAATAAAGCTATAATTCAATGATTATGTTAATACTGAAATTCGACAATAAAACGATAATTTATATATAAAATGTAGAGAAATGAAAGTAAAAATTTATAATTGAGAAAAATTTGTATTCCCTGTAACTAGTTGACTTTTTATTTTAGGTAAATATCTCATTCATAGAGACTTGGGGTAAATATAAGTGTGAAAATGAAAAGAAAAAATAGATGCTACAAGTACAAAATAAATAGGCGCTGTAGATAGATACTTGGCAACATATAA